GGAGGGACAGCGCAGAAGGGGAAGGCCCCCTTTGAGGTGGATTGATTCAGTGATGGGTAATCGGGATGGGTGTATCGGAGATGGTGCGATTGGCACAGGTCAGAGCAAAGTTTAGGGATGTTGTACATAGGGTCACTATGAGTCGCAAGAGACTCAACAGCACATAACAACAACAACAAAATTAAACTCTGTGCGAGGGAACTCTGGTGGGCTAGTGACAAGGAGTTGTACTGCCAGCCCGTGGTTCAAGTGCAACAGCTGTTCCTCATGAGAAAGATGGGTCATTCCCTTCCAAGTGATTTCCTGCCTCAGAAAACCTGCTGGGGAGTCAGCTATAAGTCAGTTATAGCTCGACACACATAACAGTGAACTATGCTAGACATGATGCCAGGCAACACACTTCTCACTTGGTGGCCATTCCCCAGAAACACCTGAAATCGCAGCTTGCTTCATTTAATCCATACATGTCGACTGAGCACACATTCTGTGCTTGGATGGATGGGAGGCTGCTTGACAAGCAGCGCTGCTCCCCATGGGAGCTTTGAGGCCCCAGTAAGTGGCTTCTTTCTCTACTTGTAGCACCAACACCATCGGTGGTAAAAGGCAGGTTGTTGAGAATTTAGGAAGCAGGACTACTCACTTCGTGGGAGTGGAGGTGGTGTTGAGAAGGGTGTCCACAGAGCTTCCTGGGCGTTACCGCTTCACCCATTCAGTTTCTCTTGCAGGCAGAGACTCAGAAGATAAGCATGTTCCTGCCACCCAGGGACTCCTGCTGCCCCAATGACTGATCATGTGGTCCTTGCAAACCACTTTCTCCAGTCTGGGTCCCAGATATTGTACATTCCCTTTCATATTTACTTATTGCTCCATCTAAATCCCTTTTCCTTCACTCTACTGTCACATTATGTCAGTGTGAGGAGAGTCACTTTCACTAGGGTGTGAATGTCTAACAGGTGTCCCCTTCCACGCTGCCTATCTACTTTAGATAAGAGCTCAGAGATAAGTATTCATTTCTAATTGTGGAAAAATTTGAGTAGCAAATTTTCTGTCTTCCCATCTAGCTTCTGTACATCAAACCATTACAAAGCCGAACAACAGAGGTCACTGACTAAGCCACATTAATCTTGTCTTTGGGGCAGCTGTAGTGTTTTGAGGGGGATGGAATTTGAGAACCTGGACTGGTCCTAGAGTTAGTAATTGACCGGGTTGAGTGTCAATGTCCTTTCTGTATAAATGGAGCTCATGGGAATTTTATGAAGATTATCATGGAATGAGAAATGCTGTACCCCAGTATGCTGTCCTCAGGACAGGATCTGGAGGTAGACTCTCCTTGACCTAAACCTTAGAAGGCAAACTTAGACCTAAACCATATATGCTTTACTGTATTATCCTTAAGCAGGTACCTTCAGATGCTTAGAGGTCATTTCATTCTAAATGGCTTGTTTGGCTCAACTGTGCAGAACTCCTAGGGTGTCAGGTGGGCAGAAAGGCACAGGCCCTTCTACTTATGTTTGAAAAAGTGTTCAGAAACCACAGGGTATACTAACTACTGCTGCAGCATCCTCCTGTAGTTGAATTTTCCAAGCTTTGAAAACTTATAGTACTAAAAGTGAATGCCAGCAGAGGCCCTTGGAGGGCAGGGGAAGGCGCCGTGCTCCCTGGCCAGGCAGCTCCACCCGGGTGGGTGGACGTGGTGGCCATTCCTGTGCTGAGTCATGGGACAGCCCTTCCCTGTGTGGCCCACGCTGCTGGCCGCCCCATCCTCAGAGGAGCAGCAGGACGACTCATGCTTTGGCAAAGCGCTCGTGGAGAAGACTACGGAAAGGAGACAGACAAGCACTACTGCGAGCCGGGGCAGGCGGGCAGAGGAGTGAATGCATTTTTATGACTTCAGCCTCAAATGTTATTTCCCAGGCCTAAGAGAGACTTACTTTGAAAGATTTGACATACTTTCTAGCTCCAAATTCTATCTTGAGAATGGTAGAACTACCTCAGTGTCTTGTTAGGCTCTAAATTTTCAAATGGGACTAAAAAGAGACTTTGAAAGCAAATGGATCTGAATTTGAATCTAAATTTTGACTCTGGTGCTTTCAGTCTAAGACTCTGGGAGCATTACTTCACCCCAGGGCATCTCTTTTATGGAAAATAGGGCTAAAGAGTCTAAGGATTGTTAATGTTGTTGTTCAGTAAGGATTTTACAGTAGGGAGGTCCTTCTAGACTTACAGGAGACAAAAAACCTCCCACTGCCACCCAGTGGATGGTGTAGAACTGCCCCACTGGTGTCCTAGGCTGTACAGCGTTACAGCTCTCCCATGGAGCAGCTGGGGGATCCAAACCACTGACCTTTCTATCAGCAACCCACTGACTAACCCGCCATGACTCGAACCTAACAGGAGAGAGAAAGCCAGGTAGAAAGTTTCAGGGATGGAAATAAAAAGGCAGAACAGCCGCAGGAGCAGAACCCCTGGCACCACGTTGAGCACGAAGTGCAGCCAGTCAGAGATCCAGGGAGCCTTTGTAGCTGTTTCCTTATGTCCTGCCCCACACTGGTCCAGCCTCCGTCTGGCTATCAGCACTTAATGTGCTTGGCAGGGCAGCACTAATTTATCTTGTGCTGACTAGGACCTCCTCTCAGCAGCCAGGTTTTATCACCTGGTGCCCATTCTCTTTCTTTCCTTCTATTTTATTCCTGGGGCAGGATAGTAACTGACATCTCGAGCATGAATAGAAAAGCTGGAATTAGCTTTATCTCAAAAAGCTTTATTTGGAAAATTTTCATGCATACCCATAAGTTGCAAGAATTTACATTTTTCCATCTTGGCTTATAACTTCAGCAATGGGTGTATTTCTGAGTAAATTGCAGACGTCACAGTACTTCCTGAGGTCAGTTTTGAAGTGAAGATTGGATTGAATGGGCAACAGTGAGTTCCCACAGCTACCTGAAGCTGTTTAACTTGGCAGCATGATGGACTTTAAAAACACTGGAGCCAGAGTTCTGGTGTCCTAGTGGCAAAAAGCTGCGCTGCAATCCCGAAGGCATGCGATTCCAATCTACCAGATGCTCTGCTGGAGAAGGAGGAGCAATCTCTTCCTGTACCCATTGGGTCTGATTCGATGGTACACACACACACAAAATAATGAAATAAAGAAAACACTGGAGCCCAGACCTCACTGTCTTGTGTGTTCCTGCTACTCCAGCATGTGCCCCAGGACTGGAGGGGGCCATAGAGCCGTACCCTAACAGTGTCCAGCATGAGAGAAACAAAAACACAAAATTATAAATGCTTGTGTATACCCCGTTCTGTATGTACTCTATTTCTTTTCTTTTTACTTTCCCTTCCCCAAGTTTTCCCGAGTTTATCTTTATCCAGTTGGCTGTACACTAAATGGTTTTTTGTGTTTTTGTTGTTTTTTTCTCATTCTGTTATAGGGGCTATATCATTCGGCAACATCAGCTATGGCAATGGTATAGATAAATCTCATAATGTTGCTCAAAAGAACCTAGGCACAAAAGATGCTATGATATGTATTCTGTGTGTATCCTAAGTGAATCCATTTTAAAATCCTATCTTGTGATATACTGGCGTATCTGTACCTCTTTCATTGTCCTCAGTTGGGAAGCAACTCATAACTGTGCTCCATTGTGTGTCTGAGGCTGTAAATAGCACGAGAGGAGGTTGCCCCTCTTTTTCCCTCAGAGCCACATGGTAGATTCGAACTGCCAGAGAGGTACGGGCTTTGGATCAGCAGCACACCTCATCACAGGCCATGCCACCAAAGCTCCCTTCATTCCTCTAACTAGTCCTGGGCGTCATCAGGTTTCTTCACATCCCCTTTGGTCTGTCAATGAACGTTTGCTGGTACCACAGCGGTACATTCCTCAAGGTGCACCTGTGTGGTATTGTGCTCACAGCGCTGGGCATGGCGGCCTGACGTGGTCTTTCTCTTCCTCAGAGCCAAGATGGCTGTCCTCTCAAAGGAATATGGTCTCGTGGTTTTAACCGGTGTCGCCAGCTTCATGATGGTGGGCCATCTAGCCATCAATGTCGCCAAGGCCCGCAAGAAGTACAAGGTGGAGGTGAGTGGGCGCACATGCTGGTGCTTTGGTAGACTTGTCTGGGGCCATAGGCTTACTTGAGAACACGTTCTCACTTGCGGAGGGAGAACAGAAGAGCTGGTTACTAGCAGTGGCAGGTTCAAAAGTGAACCTGCTAGAAATTCTGCCCCTTTGCAGTAGTAAAGAGTCAAGATAGTTCTGAAGTATCTCCGGGTAGGTTTTAACTGCCAACCTTTTGGTTAGTAATTGAACACTTAACCATTTGTACCACTCCTGAAAGGCAAGTCATGCTGAGATTCTGGCAGAATGCTTTGGGGCTGAAAGCTGTTTGTTAAAATGAGTGGTATTTTCTGCAGAGTTCAGACGCAATAGTTGTCTCTTGGCATACCACTCAAATAGAATTTCTTAGGTTGATTTTCCTGTTTTCCAAGTAGAGGAGAAATACATGGTGCTGAGGTTTAAGCTGGGCTTGGACAAATAAAACACAGGGAGGAGGTCTATTAATACTTCTTCAGTTCTTGCTACTCAAGAAAGGATAATTACTGAGGCTGTCCCTGGTGAGCAATTTTAAAAGTCTATTTCTGTGTAACAACTTATAATTAGACTCCTTAACTCAAACCTCTTTTAAAGTTTTCATATGCCATTTGCTTTTTAATGGATACTTAGACTGACATTCTCACAGTCTGTTTCTCTCTTCCCATTAAGGGAAATCTTACTAGGATATATTTGATGACTCTTGGGAATATGTCCCTGTGGGGTCTTTATATGCATCTGAAATACATCGTTGATGGCTTAACATCGATGAACAGCCTTGCATGGGGCACAAGCTGCCTCTGTCTCCTGCACAGCTAACACCAGAGACATTCACACGTCCTCCATGGTCACTCTCATCCACAGTGACTCATGCTTGCACACTGTACTCCATGCAGTTTTCAGTGGCTGATCTCCAGGAAAGAGAACCCCATGCCCCTTTTTCCATGTTGCCTCTGGTACTCTTAACCTCCAGCCTTTTGGTCACAATATTTTCATAACCGGATACTTGAGGAGGACAGATCAGTTCTTCCTATGTGTAGAGACCCTTTGTTACTATAAATGTTTAAGAAGAATTTGAATGCTCCTCCAGCAGTAGTACGCTAGAAGATGGTTTGGGGCTAGATTATCTTTAAGGTAAAGTCTGATTCCACACTGAATGTTCCTCTTGACCATCTGGACTAACCATAATGCACTTGGCTTTGACAGTATCCTACCATGTACAGCACGGACCCAGAAAACGGGCACCTCTTCAACTGCATTCAGCGAGCCCACCAGAACACGTGAGTGTTGGCCTTGCCGGCCACCGGAGACACCTGCCCGACACCTCAGCACTTGTGCTGTTCACTGAGTGATAACTGTGATCTGTGATAACAGTCGTGGATGCTTTGTAAAAAGTGTAATAAAAAATTATGAGTGTTGGGGAGCTCTGGTGGCCTAGTGGCAAGGATCTGCAACTACAATCCCAGAGGTACACGGTTCGAATCCACCAGATGCTCTGCCGGGGAAGGAGGGACAATCTCATCCTGTACCAGTCAGATCTGATTTGACGGTACACTCATGCAAAAATAATAAAATAAAATTTAAAAAAATTAAAAAAAATTATGAGTGTGAAAATAACTTAAAATTTTTATTAAGGAAAAATTAGTTGTCAGAATAGGATATTCTTTTTGAAAAATTAATGTGGTATTACCCTTTTATACTTATAATATGTCCTCAGATGTGGAATTCTTAGCCCTGGAGTGCAGAGACTTTGAGGCTTTTAAGAAAACTTCTCTAATTTGTCAAGACACCTTCCTCATCGGCTTGCTAGATTCAAGGCCCTTTCACTCAGTGCCCTCTGAGTTACCCCTCATCCCCCACAGAACAGGACTCAGTGTATCACTGTGGTCTGGCCTTCACCACTGCCAGCACTCTACTCGAGAGTTCTAACTTGTCAAGTGAGACCATAAGGGGCCGGAACACCCCTTCCAGCCAGCCTCATGCTAGTTCCAACTCATGGTGCCCTCTGTGTGTCAGAACAGAACCATGTTCCGTAGAGTTTTCAATGGTTAATTTTTTTAACTTAGGTGCCACTGACAAAACTTGAACTTGCAAACTTGAATGGCCTTTCAGCCAAATGTCTTGACTGTCTCTAGTTCTCAGTTCTGCATCTCAAAACCAAACATATTCCCATCAAGTTGATCCTAACTCACAACATCCCTCCCTATAGGGCAGAGCTGAGCTACTCTGCAGTGTTTCTGAGACAAATTTTACGGAAGCGGACTGCTAAGTATTCCTCCCTTGGAGCACCTGTTGGGTGTGAACTGCCACCTTTTCAGTCAGCAACTGAGCATTAAACACTGTGCTACCAGGGCTTCTCTTAGTTCTGCATGGATACATTTAAGTGGGGCACCTTTTAAAAGTTTCTGTCTCTTTCTTTTAGGTTGGAAGTATATCCTCCCTTCTTATTTTTCCTCGCTGTTGGAGGTGTTTACCACCCGGTAAGTTTTTCCACTGCATTTTTCATCTATTTGACATTATTAGTTCATTGAGCTATGGTCAGGGAAGAAGGAAGGAAATAAACATTTAATGAATGTCTTTAATTTCCCGGCACCATGCTTAGCAGGATCTCATTCAGTTACTTCTTAGGGTGTTCCCTAAGGTAGATAGTAGTTCCCCGTTTCTTCAAGTACAAAGCCTCTTGGATATCCTGTGACTTTCACAGGGTTAGATCGCTTTAGAGTTGAAGAATCTGAATTTGAACCCAGGTCTGTCCCATCCCAGAAAGTTCATGTTTGTGAGATTTTTACTTTATTTGTTCTTTCATGCAACCTGTGTTCACTGATCCCCTGTGTTCTCAGCAGTGGACATAACAAAGACACCTGCTTTTTTAGAATCTGCATTTTATGCCTTTTAGTTAGAGGGTAGGGAGAGTGGTAGAAGGTGTAAGTACCACTGAGGAAAACAGCAGAAAAGAGGACCCTGGCCTGGTGAGGGGGCGGCGAGGGGACAATTTTGAATAGGGTGATCAGGAAGGGAAGGCTTTGTTGAGGCAATTAAGCAAAACTTCAAGTAAGGAAGCCGGTGCTGCAGATTTCTGAAGATGTTTTCCAGGCAGGAGAACAGTAAGAACAAAGGCACTGAGGCAGCAACTGGCCTGGCCTGTTTAACAAGCAGTGGAGAGACCAGGCTGGCCTTACGGGAGACAGGGGACAAAAAGCAAAAGATGAGGGCAGAGTAGCATGGGACTCATCACGGGGCCTCGTGGGCCACAAGAGCCCACGTTGACCATAGATCTGGTCTGCGTTTAAATGTATTGAAATAGAACAAGGTTGTCTATCTGGGTTGGTTGCCATTGGGGTCTTACCTTGGACAGAAAGTGTTTCCTTTTCAGGAACCATGTTATCCCCCTAATCCAGGTTGTAGTCAGAGCACTGGCCCTTCACACAGTGATTCCAAGCCTTCCTCTTCCCTCTGGTCTGCACCTGAACAGCTTGGTTTTGTTATTTATTGAAAGACCAATACGTCAGTAGTTCATGACCCTGAAGTCCCGTGTCTTTTCAAGGAGCATCAGTTGCTCCTGTATCTTGGATAGAAGGTGCTTTTTTCTGGTGCCTCATGGCAAATGGTTAATTCCAACTTGGTCCCAGTAGCCTGGTTGTTGTTGTTGTTAAGTGCTGTTGAGTTGTAGACGACTCATAGTGACCCTATGAACGAAAGACCTGGACACTTGTATAACTTTCGTCCTTTCTCCGGGTTGATAGGGTTTCCAAGCTTGTTTTAATCAGGTAGTTTAATTGGGTAGTTTTAATTGGCTTGTTTAATCCAGTAGCCTGGAGCTCTCTAAATTCAGCATCACTCAATGCCCACCTCACCCAGACTCCTATCCCCCTTCCCGAGGTCACTTTACTCATTCTTAGTTCTTAAAACTACTCCGAAACCAAGTGCCCAGGGTGATGGAATTATCAACATTATAATAGGAAGCAGCCTGGCAGAGCCTACAGCTTTTGTAAATAATGACGTAGAGACTGGGTTTTTAATTTTAGTTATTTCATACTCCTACTGATAGTTAACATTACCCTAGGTTAAATAAACAAAGATCATTAAGCATTAGCTTTGCCACCTCTGATAGCACTGTTAAATTAGAAAGGTACCTGGGGATGGATGGTGACGTGCAATGTTCCATATCCTCACACAACCTCTTCCTTACTCCCTTCAACAAGAGATAACTAGGATAGTGCCCACATTGGAAATGTCTTCACCATACACAACGTTCTGTTCCCTCTTCTCAAGAGTGGGAGTGGGGAACATGGCACTTTCTCCCGCTGAGTCCACACATTTCCAGGTTCACAGTATGATGCAGTCTCCCGGCCGTTTTGAGGAAGCCACACCTGTGTGTAGCCTACAGCACAGCTACTCAGATCCCACCCAGCATGGCTTGGCTAGCGATAATACAACAGCAGCAGCTGTAGTGACAGCACGTCTCACATCTGCGGCCCCTTTAGATGCAGCAGGGCTTGCCCTGGGTCCTGTCTCTTGGTTAGTGTCCTTAGCTGTCCCTGTAGACCACAGGCTGGCCTTTCCTCCTGTTCTAGAGTGCTTTCTCCACCCTCTCGATCTTGCCAGTCTCCAGCTTCGGGCCCACAAGCATAGAAACATTACAGAGCTTTGATTTTCCTGACTGCTACAAATAATTCTGCCTTCACTTTGAGGGGAAATTTTTTTTCCATTTCCGGAAAATGACTTTATTTTTGCTGAAACACTGTGTGATCAGCCTTAAAGCAACTCCCCAGCCACTGCCATCGAGTTGATTCTGACTCTTAGTGACCCCGGAGGAGCAAGCAGAACATCTCCACAGAGTTTCTCAGGCTATAAATCCGAACAAAAGGCAGACAGCCTCATCTGTCTCCCACAGAGAAGTTGGTGGGTTTGAATTGCTGACCTTTTTGGTTGGCAGCTTTAACCCACTCCTTAATTATCCTTTGGTGTTAGTAAAGGTTCTGCTTCTCTTACACAGACACTAACTTAATACTTTTATTTTAGCGAATAGTGTCTGGCTTGGGCATGGCCTGGATTATTGGACGAGTTCTTTATGCTTATGGCTATTACACAGGAGGTAAGTACATATTGGCGTTTGCCAAGGAAACACATTTAAAATCTTATGCTACTATACTTTTCTTTTTAGCAGGGCTCTAAGGAAGGAAGGAATAAAATAGGTTGATACGTAGGTGAAAAAAAACTATCCTATTCTTTGTTGTTTTGACCTGTGATAGAGTAGTTCTAGGTGACAACTGATACTCTAAAAATTTGTTTGTATGCTAATAAGCATAAGTTTATTAGTCTATGATAGATATTATTAGGCCTTTTTATAGATAAGGAAACTGAAGCTTAGAAAGATTAAAATGCAAGGTTACAGAGCTACTAAATATAAACTTCTTCTTGTTGTATGTTGTCTGGGAACCAACACACAGCTGACCCTCCAATGGGTTTTCAGAGGCTTACATGGCCTAGGAGGAGATTGCTCATCTTTCTCCCATGGAAGAGCTGGTGGATTCGAACTGCGTGCCTTTGGTATAGCATTGCAGCTCCTTTACCACTAGGCCACCAGAGCTCACTAAGTATAAACTAGGAAGCCAAGATTCAAACCTCCAGCCATCATTGTTCCTCTCCACTCCTGTGGTGTTGTTACTGACTGTCCTCAGTCAGTTCTGACTTGCAGCGATCCGTGTGTGCAGAACAGAACTGCTCCATAGGGTTTTCACGGCTGGGTGAAGTCTCCAGAGAAGCTTCAGGATGACTTTAGAATGGCCAGCCTTTTGGCCAGTAGTTGAGCCAAAAAATTTAAATCTTTGCTTCTCCCAGAGACTAACTTAACTACTAGTAAGTTGTATGTGCATCAGAGAGAAGAGGACAAAGTTTTCTTGGCTCTACGTTGTTTAAGCTTCAGAGGCCTAGTGATTACAAGTTGCACTACCAACCTAATGACAGGTGATTTGAATCCTTCATCTGCCCCTTGGGAAAAAGATGGACAGTCTCCTCTCCAGCAATTTACTGGCTCTGAAAATCCACTGGAAGGTTAACTTTGAGTTGATGCTGACTTGCCAGCACATAGCAACAACAACATAAAATCTTCATTGAAGGAGGAAACACTCCTTCCTTGAAGGGTCCTATAACAAAGTTACTTTAATTTTGTTGTTGTTGTTGTTATTGTTATGTGCTGTCAAGTTGCTTGTGACACATAGCGACCCCATGTAAAACAGCCCTGAACCCTGCTCTATCCTGAGCTAACCATATCGTCTCTGACACACCCACCCCATAACTCCAGTCACTGAGTCAATCCATCTCATCAAGGGTCTTCCTCTCCTGCACTGATCCCTCCACCCTGCCAAGCATGATGTCCCTCTCTAAGGATGTCCCTCCTTGTAACATGTCCAAAGAATATTAGACAGAGCTTCAGAATCCTTGCCTCCAAGGAGCAGCCTGTTCTCACCCTCTCTAGGGTGAACTTGTTTTCCTAGCAGCCCATGGTATATTCAGTACTCTCCTCTAGCACCACAGCTCAAAGGGATCAATTCTTCTTCTGTCTTCCCTAGTCATTCATTGTCCAGCTCTCTGATGCTTAGCATGTAATTGCAAGTTACCACCTCCTAATTTTCTAAAATCCAGCAATATTATTGTGACAAATTTAGACTCCTTTAGGTTACAATTGGTTAACCTCATGCAGCTAGCTAGCCAGTGGACATCCCTACGGTGCCGTGGTAGAATGACTTGTGGGTGTGGAATGCATCGCAATTCCAGATAACATGTGCTCTCTCTTCTACAGAACCCAGCAAGCGGAGTCGAGGAGCCCTGGGGTCCATCGCCCTCCTTGGCTTGATGGGCACAACCGTGTGCTCAGCTTTCCAGCATCTCGGCTGGGTTAAAACTGGTTTGGGTGGTGGGTCCAAATGCCATTGAAGAGTTAGAGGTTTAAAGCTTCTCATTCATCTTGAATGTCTTACCTTAATTTTCAGTTACATAATTTTTTTTTTCTAAATATAATAAAACCTGTCTGGCGTCAGCCTCATACTGAAACTTCCTGACTATATCACTTTTCATTTTGAGATATATCTATATATATTTTAAGTCTCTAAAATAAATGTCCTTTCTGCACTAGGTAAGAAGGACTACCCCTCCTCACGCTGTTGCTGGATGCTTAACACGTGAAGTTGAGAAAAAGCCTTTATGATGAGAGGTTCAAAATTATGCCACAGTAGTAAGAAATTGGAGTTCAAATTAAGTCTTTTAGTTGTTATTGTTGTTGTTATGTGTCGATGGCTCACTTGTGGCTCATAGCGACCCTAAATCCTGCTCTATCCTGTACCAATATTGTCTCTGACACACCTGCCCCCAGTACCCCAGTCACTGAATCAATCCATCTCATCAAGGGTCTTGCTCTCCTGTGCTGTCCCTCCACCCTCCAAGCATGATGTCCCTCTCCGAGGACCTGTCCCTCCTTACAACATGTCCAAAACATGTCAGACAAAGCTTCAGAATCCTTGCCTCCAAGGAGCAGGCTTGTTTCACCCTCTCTAGTATGTTTGTTCTCTTAGCAGTCTATTGTAATATTCAGTACTTTCCTCCAACACCACAGCTCCAAAGTATCAATTCTCCTATCAACCCATAATTGCAAAGACTATGGACGGAATCATGTGCACCTTAGTCTCCAGACTGACATTATTGCTCTTCAGTACTTTGGAAAGGTCTCTGACAGCATGCTTTCCCCCATGTAATTGGTCTTTTAATTACCTGGCTGCTGTTGCCAAGACTGATTGTGGAGCCAAGCAAACTAAAGCAGTTAACAATATCAATCTCTTCACTGTCTATCATGATGCTGCCAATCGACCTAGTGGTGAGAATCATACATAGCTAGGATATAAGATTACCTCATCATTTGTTACAAGTACTTAGGACAAGAGTAAAGGGTTATGTTGCTTTTTGGGTGAAAAGACAGGGTAATGATAGGCAAGGCTCAATGTTGATTAATGTATAAGTGAATTATAAAACATAATGCATGAGAACAATTGTATGAAACATAGTATGACGGAGGAATACTGTGAAACACAATGTATATGAACTTTGTAAGCAAACCAATAAAAAAATTTTAAAAATTAAAAAATTTAAATTACAGAGTAGAGCAACAAGCTAATTTTAAGATGAAACTTAAGGATAAATTTGATTAACCCTATTTAGACCATAATCAACGTCCATGATAACAGCAGTCAAGAAATAAAAAGATGGGAAAATCTGTTGTCAAGGAACTCTCCAAAGTGCTAAAGAGCAACGATGTCAGTTTAAAGACCAAGGTGGACCTGACTCAAGCCATGGTCTTTTCGGTTACTTCCTATGTATCTGAAAGTTGGACAATGAGTAAGGACAACAGAAGAAGAATCAATGCCTTTAAATTGTGGTATTGGAGAGGAATAATGAATATCCCATGGACTGCCAAAAGAACAAACAAGTCTATCTTAAAGGAAATACAACCAGAGTGCCACATAGAAGCAAGGGTGGTGAAACTTCATCTCAGAAACAACCAGTCCTGGAAAACGAAATCATGCTGGGGAAGATGGAACATTAGCAAAAAAGAGGAAGACCCTCTAGACAGACCGACACAGTGAGTAGAACAATGGGCTGAAAGGGATCAGAGATCAGGAAGATGGCACAGGACAGGGCAAGGTTCAGATCCATTGTTCACGGAGTCACTATGAGTCACAGCAGACTCAGTGGCACCTAACAACAACAACAAAGTATTTGGATACAAGGACCTAATTGTATACACACAAATGAAGGACATGGTTAGCAAAAAGTGAGAGACCTGGAGAACAACACAAGGTGGAGAGTGAGATAGCTGCTCCAAATACCAATGGAGTTATAATACCGAAAGTGTAGGCTCTAATGCTGTGTGATCCGGTACAGAAATTAACAAAACAAAAGGTCACTTCAGTCACACAGTAACCATATTTGTACTTGATCTCAGCCAAAATGCTGAGAAACAATTGTAACCACATTTGTAGCAATCAGTAGCTTATGAGAACTAGGGATGGGGGCAGGGGTTGTTGTTGTTTTAAAAGATTTCTTTTAATTGATTTTCATATACTAATTTATTTACATTGTGTGCCATACAATCATTCATATACACTATATTCCATCTAATTATCATTAATCTATGCCTACTTATTACACAATCTTTTCAAGTCCTAATTGAATCTTTTCCATTTCTTTCCCATCCTGCCAGTCCACCCACTAAACTCTATTATCCTAGTAATTTCCACCCTTCCCCTTTGGGACATTTATACACCTTTTATTAGTAGTATTCTATTTTTGTAACAATGGTCTTATGCAGTATTTGTGTTACGAGATTTTGTTCAATCAGCACAATGTCCTCTAAACTCTCCCATGTAAATAGTATTTTATGAAATCATTGCTTCCTAAGACCAAAGGATAGGTTTTGAACCCAAATCTGACTCAAAGTCAGACTTTTCCCACTGTATCATTCTGCTGTATAAGGAGGCTGAAGTATTACAGATACTCTATACTGAGAGGGGTAGCCGCAGCCAGATGACCACCTGGGCTCACAGGTGTCTGAGGGGAAAATCAGATTGGATCAGAATATATGTGGACCAAGAGTAGTTTTATTAGTTTATTTGGATCAAAATATGGAAAATAAGGACTATTGTTTGTAAAGCTTTAACTTTTCCTTTCTCACATAAAAATGTCATTTTATGAAATTATGGTGCTGATAATGAATGACAATTTGGGGGGTGGGGGGTGGGGCTGTTCCTGCCTTGAAAAATATAAAGAAAAATTATTGTCAGCTAAACTGATTTGGTTTTTAAAATGTCATCTTGGGGACGACTTGCTGCGTTCAGATTTTTATGTATAAGAAACGGCACCTGGAGGGACAAGAAAGCTTGTTAAGGTTTCCTTTCTCATTATTCAAATTACAGGCGTTGGCCAACCAAGTCAGAGAAGGCTTGGAAACAAAATCGATTACTCACCTTTGTTTGAAAGTCTTAACTCTCATTGCCATCCAGGGGGGTTCAGAGCTGTACTTCACATGGGAGCAGACTGCCATTCTTTGTCCTGCAGAGCAGCTGGTGGGTATGAACTAGGAGAGGTATGGCCTTTGGATCAGCAATAGAACTTCCTACCCACTAAACCACCAGAGCTCCCCAAACAGGTGTTTTAAATTTCCTTGTCAGGTGGAGAAAATATTGGCCCAAGTACTGTCACCAGTAACTGCTGATTCATCAGCATTGTGTGTTTCAGAGGGTCAGCTGATCTCCACACTTTCTAAATTTCATTAGCGATAGAATTCAGAAAACCATGCCTGGCCTACTAAAAAGTCTAATTTGTCCATTATATACCTAAGTTTCCCCACTTGCAGGTAGCTTTGGGCACGTTTATTTACCCCCTTTACAGCTCAGTTTACCTAGCTGCCAACTGGGGATAATGATGATTCGATTCCTGCAAAGTTTGTGAGGATCAAATGAGACATACAGGGTCTAGCTGGGTGTTCTCTAGCACTCCCGTTCCAGCTCAAGATCCGGTAGGGAGGGCACTCGCGCCACCTGCTGGTGGAACTTCAGAAGCACTAGTTGAGCAAGTGGGCAAGCAGGTGACCTTCATTCTAAGGAACCCTGCACCTGAGTCCTTGAAATGTGACGTAGTACAAGCTAATTTTTTAAAAAATTTAATTAGGTGGGTGCAGCAAGCGGCTACTTCATTTGGATAGCACAGCTGTAAAGCAGCTTGGCTGCCCATTAAATTCACCTGGGGAATTTCTAGAACTTCAGATTAAAATATCAGTCTTTTAAAAGTTCATTTAATTCTAATGCACAGCAAATGGTGAAGATCAATTGTGCTTCAGGAATGCTTGGAAAACTTCCATGCGTGTGAATTAACTGGCCTCCTCGCTGCTGTCAAGTTGATTCCTACTCAGAACAAGTTTCTTTACTCAGTTTCTGAGGCTCTAAATCTTTTCAGGAAGCAGCTGGTGGAATCAAACTGCTGAACTTTCAGTGAGCAGCAGTCCTAATATACGATACACTATGCCACCAGGACTCCTTGAATTCTCCACAGGACACCACACTAGGTGAGGTACAGCATCAGAGAAAACGAGGACAACCCTCAACAAGATGGATCAGCACAGTGACTGTACCAATGGGTCATTATCATAATGAGTCACAGTCGACTAAAGGGCACAGCAGCAACTAATTAAAATGCAGATTCTAATTCACAGGTTGCTGGACCACATCTTGCCCTACAAATCCACTGATTTTTCATACATTGCATACTAATTTACTATGAGTGACAAGACACTCACTGCCTTTAGAGTTTACATTCTAGTTGGGGGAGAAAAACGAGTGATAAATGCTTGACATAAAGAAAAATAGTGGTGGGATAAGATGGGCTACCGTTGTAGCTGTTAGTTCAATTCCAATTGAGGGTGACCCCAAGAATATAGACCAGAATTGCATTTCACTGGGTTTCAAAGCCATGACCTGCAGGGAGCAGATCACCAGGTGGGCCTGTGACCCAAGGTAGCATCTGTGTGGATTGGTAATCCAGTTTTTATTTGCACCATCTGGGATCCCACTTTCAGTCTGGAGGTAAATACTCAGCTTTGGGCCTTATGAGGGGAAATGTGCTCCAAGAGGAAGAACGTCCCCAAGGCAAGAACGTGAGGCTAGCAACACAATCCCCCAAAGGCTATGTACACCACCAGAGCTCCCTATGACAAAACAAGGATCCATTACAATAAATGCCAAACTCAGACCTATGCATCCCAGAGGAGCTCGGAGTTAGTTTCCAAGGTGGAAACTCCAATGTGGTAAAAAGCAGGGAGAGGCTCAGGGTCCTCCCGGGTCTATAGAAGTGTCTGTTTACTTGACCTTCTAGCCTGCCAGATTCTTGCCTTAGCAAGGGCCCTTCAGGAAGCAAGAGGATCCTTGTGACAAGAAATAAAGCAGAAGCAAAGAAAGAAGGGGTCCAGTGGTCTCAATCAGTACTGAAAGACCTACCCAAGTTAGGAACTGTTTATACATGGAATAAAATCCAAGTCAGAGATCAGCTATTGGAAAATGTGAGGTAGCACTAGTTGCTCTTGTTGCTTTAATTTTATGGTTTTTTTAAAAACCCCTTATATTGGCTTATGGTTAAAAACTACATCCTTATATTGGCTTCCTCAGGAATCTCACAGTCCAAGAAATCTTGAAATACACACGAAAAGATGTAAGATGGACCTGGAAACCAAGCAAGTGAGACAAAAAGAGGGATGCTGGTGGTTAAGTGTTTCAATGCCAACCAAAGAGTTGTTAGTTCAAACGCAGCAGCTGCTCTGTCAAAGACAGTTTACTTCTATGACTATTAGAAACTTGGAAACCCGACAGGCCGTATTCTACTAATTTTTATAGGATCATCAATCAGAATGGACTCGATGGCCATGGACTTGGTTTTATAGACAGTTACCATCCCATTTCTGTAACATGCACCCAAATGGGACAGTGGTTACTTCTAGGAGGGAAAAGCACTTGGGAGAGGAAACGCAAAGGGGACTTTTTTGCTTCTTGTTTCTTAAAAGTCAGCCAAAATAGATTCCAAGAAAATTTAGCTATAGTACAACTTCTTCAAATCAGAAAAAGGTCTGGCCTTCTGGCTATGTCAATGTTCCCCAAAGGGTTTTGTAGATATTCTCATGAGGTGCTTTATCAACAAATGAAAAAGGATTCTCGATCAGGTATAACTAATGACATCATGGAATACACCTTGGACCATGGTGGTTTAGATTCAAGAATCAGGAAAAGTTGGAAAACGTCCAGGTTCTGGGGTCCCAAAAGTCTGAGTCTGAATCCTGCCCAGCTGACTGGCTTGGAAAACCAGGACTTCCTAGACCCCACTTCTCCAGAAATATGTGCCTAACTCCTGCCTTGGGCTGACTGTGAGGAGAGAGCTGCTTCCCTTTCTCTGCAGACAGACTGTCAGAAGCCTGTCTTCTCCTAGAAGGGTTCCACTGTTCCATTTGCTCAAGGGTAAGATCATTCCATTGACCTTGCTCTGTACCAAGTAAGTGCCCTCAAAGCAAATAACCATAAGCAAAGGGCCTAAGAATCATTTCATACCTAAAACCAAAGTATTAGTCCATTCTAAGCGTAATTAAATAGGGGAGCAAACAAGTATCCATTACTTCTGACTTAAACTAAACTACCTATTAAACAGAAAGAAGCTAATTCCCTGCAGGGAAGAAGAGCGTTAGGGTAAAAAGCATGCCACAACAGACTTGAAGGTCACAGTGACCCAACAGCTCTTCAAGGACAGGCACTGCAGGCCAGTGTGGAGAGAGACTTGGAGGCTACATGCGTACTTGGGCAGTAAATCAGGCTCACGACATTGAACGAAGCTTGCCCACCTGCCCTTCCATCCCTGTTGCAAAGAAAACTCTAAAAGAAAATCCCACCACCCTCCACTTTTGATTTTATCGGTTCTATGACCCAAGATTTGTGTACTGTGTTCCCCATTTGCTTACAGTCCACCTGAAACCAAAGACAACAAATCATCTGCTTAAATCATTCATCAAAACAGAATGAAACGAAAAGACTTAAAATGTGATTTATTTTATATTTCAGTGTATTACATTAGCATACAAAGAAAATATACATTTGAAAAGAAACTGCTATCCTAAGAGGGCAAGTTGGACCTCATGGTCAGGGGGAGATACCCTGTGTCCCAGCTCAGGAGGAAGGGGTCCTGCAGCAAGTAACATTCGTACAGGCTGGGACCTCTTGTTACCCTGGTCACCTCTCTATCGCCGTTGCTGGAGTTTTCCAGGGACCATCAGTGAGCAAAAATTATGACTACTGATTCTACCAAGAGCTTACAAAGGACTGTTTTTAAAATGAGCTACAGAATTACTACTGTGGGTGAGTCGGATCTGGGACAGAAGGATAATCCTAGTTCTCTCCCTGGTCTCCAGAAATGTGTCGCTAGCTTTTAAAGATGTCACAGAAATTTGTTGTGAGGGAAATCAAAAGTTTCTTGATTATTACCTAAAAGGCACTTACACACATTTTTCACTTAAAAAGGTGGTTAAGAGTGAAATCCTGAGCCATTCTCTTATCCTGAATGATAAATATTCTGGATTGTAAATAGTATTAAAAAAAATTACAAAATGAAATTTTGTATTGTTCTGCTTCTGGAAAAATGGCCAGTGATTCTCCACGTCCACCCACAGCCACATGGACAGGTTTTCCATAGACTTTCAGAAAGTAGACTCAACATTGCCCATCTCCACGCACACAGTCTTCAGTTGTGAATAATATTCAATTGTCACACGACCATTTTCTCTGCCAAATCCTGAAAGGAAAAAGGGAGTCAGTTTGTGCTATCACTGCAAGTCTGGAAGGTCACAGTGAATCTTCGAAGAGAGGCACTGAAAAACACAGCCACTTAAAAATGCCAGGCTAATGTGCTAAAGTCATTTATTAACTGGAGACAGGTATGGGGGGGATCAACTCAGGACTCTTTGGGGATAGAGGTAAGGAACAAAATTAGATAACTCCCAGATTAAAACAAGCTTGGAAGCAGGAGTGGCATCCACTTCCAAAATAGCTTGCCTCCAGAAACTCTATGAACTTGGAGAAATGATAAAAGTTATACAAGTGTTCAGGCCTTTCATTCATATGGTCACTATGAGTTGTCTATGACTCAAAGGCACTTAAGAATAACAACAACAATAATGAGAGAGCTCTGTTGGCTTAGTGGATAGAAAGTTATGCTACCAAGTCAAAGGTGGCTGATTTTAATCTGCGGCCGTCAGGCCTGGTTTTAATTGGTTTTGGTAAAACATTCTTCTAAACAGTATAGCACTGGTCTGTCCATTTGCTGTACAGAGCTAACTCATGGTTGCTGTGATACTGAATGCTGAGACACTGGTGCATCAAATGTGACAATGGTTACCCATGGTGGACAGTGTTTGATGGAGTTCCTCAATCAAAACAAGCTTAGAAGCAGGAGTGGCATCTACTTCTGAAATAGCTTCCCTCCAGAAACTATGAACTTCGAGAAATGATGAAGATAATACAAGTGTTCAGGTCTTTCATTCATAGATTCGTCTACAACTCAATGGCACTTGACACCACCACCATGACTTATTAGTATAAATCTTCTTAACTCAAGATACCTGTTCTAGCTTGGGACCTGAAAACTGTTCAAGCTTATTAAGCAAGAGAGTAGTCTCTACAACAGTCAACCTGACAGCCTTGAAAGCTGGTGCTAATTTAAAACTTAACTCTACAAGATATAATGCATTAATTTACTATTAAACCACATACACATAGGTAAGGGGACCCCTTAGGATTCTGCACAGAATCCAAGACACCGCCCAGCCTGGCCTTTCTTGCACATTCTGCCTGCAGTTTAAGCAGGCTCCACTGCCTGGCAGACAAGCTCAGGTCCTCAAAAATGTCAGTCGCCATGCAATACCACCTAAAAGGTAAGATGCACCAGGGTCCTTCAAAGACTTGCTGGGTCTCTTGTGCCCTCACAAATCCTCTAAGAACCAGCATCCAGAACGGGCATTGCAGGTCAGGTACTGCTCTGCAGATCTCGTCATCTTTATGCCTCTCTCTCTCATTCCCTGTAGACAAGGCTGTGGATGCTGATGCGAAGCTTTCTAATTGGGAAAGAGTAAGCTGGTCTAGTATGCCCCGTCAAGGCTTGAAGCTAAACTCTTATCCCAAACCAATTTTTCTGTACTAAGGATTATGTAAAATGGGTCTCTGATTCCCACTATGCATTTGTATCCGCACACCGCACCGCTGAGTACCCTACAAGGATGAAGAGGGTTAGTGGAGTTTGTCGACTGAGAATGCACCAAACTAATCCTGCCAAATTAACACCCACAGGCTCTTCAGCATTCAACAGGATTTACTGTATGTTTGCAAAGTCTGTGATGGGCATAAATATTTGCTAAACAGACCAGGAGGTAAAATTCTTAGAATGATGCCTCTAGAAAATCCAAACCAATCTGCAGTCTAAATAAAGAGGGATGGCACAGGCAAAAAACTCCAAAGAACTCTGAGGTAACTATTTCTGATGTCTCAAGCCTACTACTGCTGCACTAAATACTGGCCATACTGTAACATCATATTTCTGGTTGATTATTAAATAAATAGTATGCAATGGCTTAGAGAAAACATTCCTATATGCCATTGAGTGTAATGATAATGACTAGAAATGATTACAAAAATGTTAGATTAGATGGGTAGAGGGAACGGTGGGTAAAGCAAATGGAAAAGATCTGGTGTGGAACGAGAACCAAAACTTACTAAATCAAAATTTATTTTAAAAAAAAAAGTTAGAGAACAGAGAATACCAATTAGTAAAACCTTTCTGAGATATTACTTTACCTAAACTGAATCTAAAAACTCAAAGTGGATTATGATGCACACACTGTGGATTACAATGAACCCTCTAGATCCTTTACAAGCTGCAAAGAGAAAAGTATTAGGGGAAAAGGGGAGGGAGAAAGATGCTTGGCTTTCATTTCTAGAAACTGATGTAGTGGGTCTGAGGACAACCAAGAATCTATGTCATCCTGATGCAGACAGACAGACTTGAGAACCCTGATCTATAATGATTGAATTATGACCAGTATCTCTAGAGATCAGGGTTTGTTTGCCCCTTGGATTCTCCAAATACTCACCTGACTTTTTGTATCCACCAAAAGGCAACTCGACTGGACTGACATTGTAGTTGTTAATGAAGCACACTCCAGCCTGAAGCTCAGCCACCACGCGATGAGCCCTCTGGAGATCCCTACAAAGTGAAGGGGTTGGGGAAAATGCTGGTTATTCATTGTTTCCTATGTTATAATTTTATCAGGGAAAATTGGAATGCCAGTTTCAAAGCTCCCAAGATCCTGCCAAATTCTTATTCCCTCAAAAATCTTTTACTATTCAAGGCAAAAAAAGGAATGAATTTGATGCATGGTCTCATCCAAAAGATATCTATAAAAACACAAAGCATCAAGTGACTATCTAAAGTACAACCTTAGTCTCTCCATCTAGAGTAGAGAAAGTAGAAACACACAGAAACCATGAGCCCAAAGACTAATGGGAACACAAACTCTAGGCTCCATGCGGCAGAGACCAGAAGAACGAGGGGGGGCGTGACTCAGTTTCTAGCCGAACACAGTTTAGAGGCATCAAGTCACCACGCGCCAGGGGCGTATGCACTCCCTAGAAAAACCAATCACACAAGATCAAAAGGGCAGCATTTGCACACAGATAAAATTCAGCAGGCAGAAAGGGACAGGAGAAAAGGGACAAATGGAGATGGGAAACACAGGGAGGAAAATAAAATGTGTTTACGTTGTGGGGATTACAATCTACGCTATGACTCAAAATGTGTATGAACTATTGAATGGAAATCCAATTTGCTCTGTAAACTTTCATTCAAATCACCAGGTAAATAAATACACGGTATCACTAAGGACACCAAAGCAATCCAATGAGAAAACAGTCCTTTCCAACAAGTGGTGCTAATGTCGAAATGCAACAGAAATAAACTGGACCGTGTACAAGATTCATTCAAATGGATTATAGGTTTAAAATGTAAAAGCTAAAATATAAAAATCTTTCAGAGAAAAATACTAAGTAAATCTCCATATAGTAAATTATCAAATGTTCTCTTAGATATATCAAAAGCATTAGACAAAAACTTCCTCAAAGTTAAACATTTTGTGCTGCAAACCAGGCCATCAAGAAAGTGAAAAGATAGACCAAAAGACATGTAAATAGAAATAAATTACAATGAGATACCACTTCATATCCAGTCCAACTCAATACCTGCTGTCATCCATATTCATTCCAGGTCACAATGACCCTAAAGGCCAGAGCAGAACCACTTGTAGGGTGTCCAATACTAAAACCTTACAGAAGCAAACTGTCACATCTTTCTCTTGAGGAGCGTATGCTGAATCTGAACCACTGACCTTCACTTAGCAGCTAAGCATCTTCCCACTGACACACCAGGGCTCCCTGCACACGCAGTAAGATGGCTAAACTTAAAAATACAGCAACTGGTGGTGAGAAGCTGGGAAAACTGCAACTCTCTCAGATATTGCTGATAGGAACAGAAAATATTGCAAAAATACTTCAGAAAACAGGTTGGTAATTCAACAAAAAGTTAAACAGAGTTTCTATAAGACCCAGCAATTTCCCCCTAGATATGTATACTCAGGAGAAATCAAATAACTCATCCACTCAAAAACTTATACACAAATGTTCACAGCAACATTAATCCTAACAGTCAAAAAGCAGGAATAACCTAAATACCCATCAATAAACAAGTATGTAAACAAAATGTGGCACAGTCATAAAACAGGAGTATTACTGAATAATAAGAAAAAAATACTGATACACATTACAATACAAACAAACCTTGAGAACAGTCAGTCACAAAAGACTACACACTGTATGACTGTATAAAAGTTTCTCAACTCAAACTCATCAAGGTTGACTAAGAACTCATAGCTGGCCCCCAAGGCAGGGTTTTAGAGGCTTTAAATCGCATAGTAGGAGATTGTCCATCATCTTCCTGTGGAGCAGCTGGTAGATTTAAATGATTTTTATCTGGGCTGGCAATGTAACTCCTTACCCACAGGCCACCAGAGCTCCCTGTGTAAGTGGTTGGTACTGTTGTTCTGCACTATCCAGCAGGGTTTTAGAGGAGATAAATCTTACAGGAGGAGACTTCTCATCCTCCTGTGGAGTAGCCAGAGGATTCGAACTATGTGTTTTGGAGATAAGAGTGTAGGTTCTTAGTAGGCCACCAGAGAGAGCTCCTAGTGGTCAGAAGCTCTATCAGTTAGCAGAGTTAAATCTATAGACAGAGACAGGTCAGTGGCTGCCAAGATTATGCCTTGACATACAAAAAAAAAATCCTTACAACTGGACCAATAAACAATATCATGATAAATGGAGAAAAGACTAAAGTTGTCAAGGACTTTTCTTGCATACACTATTGACATCCCTGGTACCAGCAGTCAAGAAATCAAGACATTTTGTTGCACTTGGCAAATAGGCTGTACAGAACCTCTTTAACGTTAAAAAACAAGGATGTCACTTCAAGGACTAAGGTGCACATGACCGAAATCATGGTATTTTCAGTTGCTTCATAAGCCATGTTAAAGTTGGACAACGAGTAAAGAAGGCTCAAGACGACTTTACGCTTTTGAATTGTGGTATTGACAAAGAATACTGGCATACCATGGACTGCCAGAAGCAGGAACAAATTTGTCTTGGAAAAAGTGCAGCCAGGGTCCTCCTTAGAAGCAAAGATGTTGAGAGTTCATTTCACAAATTGTGGGAATGTTATCAGGAGGGGCTGGTTTTAGGTCAAAGGTACCATGCTTGGAAAATCAGAGGATAGCACAGGAGAGGAAGAACCTTACTGAGATGGACTAATACTGTTAAGTGCAACAATGGGCTTAAACACAGTAGAGACTGAGAAGACAGTTTTCCTTCTGTTGTAGCCAGGGTCACTGTGAACTGCAGACAACCTGATGGCACCTAACAACAGAGCTGGGGGTCAGAATGGGAGGACTGCTAATGAGCATAGGGTTTCTTTTGGCAGTGATGAAAATGTGTTAAATTATGGTGATGGCTGCACAACTCTGTAACTATATTAAAACCCACTAAATTGTACGCTCTAAATGAGTGAATTGTATAGCATGTGAATTATCCCAATAAAACTGAAGGGAAAAGGTACAGATTTTAGCTGCCCTCCTCTGTACCTTAGTTCTGCAAGGGTAAACCAAAGCAAGGACAGAGATGTAACACACTCAACTTTCAAGTCATAAAATCATCCTCTCAATCTTTAATCAGAGCTCAAAGAAAAGCTATTGTAGCAGATATTTATGGTTATCAAGGAGGAAGCTAAGGATGGTCTGATGAACTTGACAAAAAATAAAGCCCCAGGAATTGATGGAATACCAATTGACATATTTCAGCAAACAGATGCTGCCCTGCATGGGCTCACCAAGTTGTCCCAAGAAATCTGGAGGACAACTACTTGGCCAACTTACTGGAAGAGATCTATATTTACTCCCATTAAAAAAAAAAAAAGGTGACCAACAGAGTGTGGAAATTATAGAACAATATCACTAATATCACACAGCAGCAAAATTCTGCTGAAGATTATCCAGAAATAACTGGAACAGTACACTGACAGAAAACTACCAGAAATACAGGCTAGGTTTAGAAGAGATCATGGCACTAGGAACATTACTGCCAATGTCAGATGGATCTTGGCTGGAAGTAGAGTACCAGAAGAATGTCTAATCTGTGTTTCATTGACTATCAAAGGCATTTGACTGTGTGGATCACAATAAATTGTGGCTATCCTTGAGGGAAATGGGAATCCCAGAACACTTGATTGTGCTTATGCAAAACCTATACTTGGACCAGGAAGAAGTCCTCACAACAGAGCAAAGAAACACTGCATGGGTTCAAAATCAGGAAAGGAATGTGTCAGATATGCATCCTATCTCCATACCTTTTCAATCTGTATGTAGAACAGATCATTCAGGAAGTAGGGCTTTATGAGGAGTAGTGTGGCATCAATACTGGAGGAAGACTCATCAACAACCTACGATATGTAGATGACACAAACTTGCTTGCTGAAACTGAAGAAGGCCTGAAGTGCTCACTGCAGAAGGACAAAGACTGTAGTCTTCAATACGGATTAAAGCTCACCATCAAGACGACAAAGATTCTCCCCACTGGGCCAATTAGCAGCACCATGATCGATGGAGAAGAGATTGAGGCTGTTAGCAATTACAGTTTGCTCAGCTCCACAATCAACACTCTTAACACCAGCAGTGAGGAAACCAAAAGACAAATTGCACTGGGAAAATCTGCTGTCATGGACCTTTCCAGAGTGCTGAAGAGCAACAACGTCAGTCTAGACGCAAAGGTGTGCCTACCTAATCCAGGCTATGGTCTTCTTAATTACTTGTCATACTTCAGAGAGCTAGACAATGACTAAGGATGATGAAAAAATAGATGTGTTCTAGTTGTGGTGCTGGAGAAGAGTCTTGAACATACCATGGACTGCCAAGAAAACAAATTCATCTGTCTTGGAAAGCGTGAAACCAAGTCTCTCCTTGGAGGCTAGGATGTTAAAGCTCCATCTCACATATTTTAGGCACGTGGCCAGGAAAGACTGGTCCTTGGAAAAGGTCATCAGGCTTGGAAGGATGGAGGGACAGTGCAGAAGAGGAAGACCCTGGATGAGATGGATTGATACAGTATCTGGGATAATGGGGGGTTGGTATGTCAGAATTAGTGAGACTGGCTCAGGACTGGAAAGGGTTCAGAGCTGCTGTACATAGGGTCGCTATGTGTTGTCGCAGGCGACACAACAGCCCATAACAACATGCTATATTGGTTGTTTTTTATTTAAGCCTCTTGCTTAGAGTCACCAGACCTCGGGAAGGCCTTTGTATTTAAAAGTCAGTTGTTATTATATTTTGGAGAAACATTTTTTAAGTGGTACAGCACTCTTATATCAATATGGTGTACTGAGGTAACCAGGGATTACTGTGATGCTGAGCCTTGTGCCACTGGTGTGTCAAGTGGCATAAAAGTTATCCATGGTGGACAGTGTTTGGTGGAGCTCCCAAATTAAGACAGGTTTGGAAGCAGGAGTGGCATCCACTTCCTAAACAACATGCCTCTGGAAACTCTAAGAACTTTGATAAATGATGATAGTTCTAGAAAGGCTTTAGCCTTTTGTGCATAGGGTCACTGTAAGTCATGCTTGACTTGACAGCAATCAGCCAAAAACAACAACAGATATTTAAAGAAGATCTGACTTTTCTCTTGGGCTTGGATCAGGCGACAGCAAGGTTGTATCGCTCAGCCATGGCCAAAATCAAGGCTTGGGACCTTCACGGAAAGAAGAAGGAGGAGCTGTTAAAACAGCTGGACGATCTGAAGGTGGAGCTTTCCCAGCTGCGCGTCGCCAAAGTGACAGGCGGTGCGGCTTCTAAGCTCCCCAAAATCCGAGTTGTCCGAAAATCCATTGCCCATGTTCTCACTGTTATTAACCAGACTCAGAAGGAGAACCTCAGAAAATACTATAAGGGCAAGAAGTACAAACCCCTGGATCTGCGGCCCAAGAAAACACGTGCCATGCGCCAAAGGCTCAACAAGCATGAGGAGAATCTGAAGACCAAGAAGCAGCAGCGAAAAGAGCGCCTGTACCCACTGCAGAAATATGCAGTCAAGGCCTGAACTTAAATAAATAAAACACAAAACTAAAAAAAAAAAAAAAAATAAAGAAGATCTGAGTCTTCTTTCCCAAGTTGCTGATATAAGCTACAAAAGAATCTAACCTGTGCATCATCACAGAAACAGAGTAATATCAAGAATAAAAGCAGTCTTAGAAAAATGCCACTTTCTGCAAAGACTAATTTAAGTGTGTACATACCAAGCAAACTACAACTGTTTTCCAAGAAACTGTGCTCTCAAGTCATTTACTTTTATTATTATAGTAACTCAAGTTATGTATGACAGTAATCATAACATTGCATACAAAGTTAAAGCTGGTGGCAATGCTCTACAATTTCAACAAATGGAAAAATAATGCCTACATGAATTTCAATGTATTCTATTTAGAACCAATTAACTATAAAGTCACTTAACAAATCATGTTTTCAAAAACTCCTGCCCAGTATTTATATCCCAAACACCTCAAACCAAACCCACAGCCATGAGTAGTTTCTGACTCCATGGCCCTCCACTGGGTTTCTGAGACTATCTTCTGGGAAAGGACTGGTGTATTTGAACTGATGAGATTCTGGTTAGCAGTCCCAATATGCCTCACACTACTCCCGAGAGCTCCTTTCTCTATATGCTTCAAAACACAAACTCTTACTGTAAAGTTGGTGCTGCTTCAAAGCTGACCCTCCTGTAGGTTTTCAGAGGCTATAAAGTACATGGGAAGAGTCTGCTCATCTTTTTTTCTGAGACGCAACTGGTGGATCCAAATTGACTGACTTTGGATTAGCAGCATAACTCTCTATCCACTAGGCTAACAAAGGAGGCCTCTAAATTCATTGGCAACTAATACCGGAAGTTTTCAGTAGGCACTTCAGTCAATGTTTTACCTAGATCAGAATGTTAAACGTTTATTCATTGAATTAATAGAAAGGACAGAATGTCCACTAGCAAAGCCCTAAAGTTCAATTTAAACTCAATACAGCAGGGTTTTCTGACAAGTCAGGACAAATTACAACAAACTGTTAACACTATGCACTAACATAAAATAAACAGGAAATGGTGATAGTTAATATGAATTCCAATGAGGGAATAAAGTTAATTACCCATCTAAATAGATAACATATCTTCCAAAACGGCTTTGGGTGTCATTCCTCACATACCTGGTGAAGACACCAGCTGCTAGTCCAAAACTGGTATCATTGGCTCTTTCCACAACCTCGGCTTCAGTGTCAAATGATAAGATGGACATAACAGGTCCAAAGATCTCTTCTTTCACACAAGTCATGTCATCTCTGCAATTAGCTGCAGACATTGTAACAAAAACAAATTTCAGGAAAGGAATTATTATTTCTGGCACTTGTAAATATATCATTTTACTGTTCACGGTAAATAGTGAAATACATGCAGCTTTAAAAAATTCTGTATGACAGTGCCAGCTTGAATATAAATTAGAACATCTTTTCTACATGGAATTTAACAAAATTAATCAATCATAGTTTCTGATTCTACAACTCTATTTTCTAGAATCCATTATAAGGAAATAGCTAGTGATGTGAACAAAGAACTGTATATTTAACTATTACTTACAGTAGTAAAAACAGATAGTGAAAAATTACACATCGAAAATGGACAACGTGATCATACGAACTGTATGTATCCTAATGATAAAATTATGAAGCCTCTAAATTGTTTTGGAAGAATACTTAATGAGTAAATGTTCACTGAAAAAAAGATACAGACTGTACACTGCATCATCCTGATTTTCTATTAAAATGCTTTATATATACGTTTTCTATATGTATATATGTTGATATATTGTTGTTT